AGGTTGAGGTGGTATAGCAATACTCTTCATCTGTGAAACTCCTTCCCTGGGCCCCCGGCCTCCGACTATTTCAGATTCTTGAATCTGCCACTGTTTGCCACAGTTTATAATTTCACATAGTCTTAACAGTAGACCTACTACATATAGCTATAGCCTATATTATATACGGGCACAGTAGGCTCATCTAGGGCCTATTTAATATTTACTAGCTTTCATTCGTCTTTTTTTTTATAACACACAATTAACAGTAGCATATTAATTTCTGATAAAATAGACCCAGGAGTTCATTGTACGTTATTACTGAATTCAGTGCTTTCGAGGCTGGATTTGCTAAATGGCGGGGCCAGATGAGTGTGGGTTCAGGGAAAGGGGAGATATCTCTAATTCGCCATAGAAACGAATTCATGTGCCATGGGCAAGACCGACGAACTAACCTCAGCCTAGGTGTACATAGTGAAACTAAAGTGTTGTCTCCCAGCACTGGTCACAATTAACTTCGAGCCCCGCATTTATCCTTTTGAAAATGTAGGCATGCTGAGTTCCATCCAGTGAATGGCTTTGAAAGTACGTGGTCTTACTTCCATAATGCGCGGTTTTTTACTGAGCCTTGCATTTGTAGAGTATAAGCACGAGTTGTATACGTATGATAAAACCGCTTTAAGATTAGATTTAATGGACTGTTGACAATAAAATTGAAGCCTTTAGATTCCCAGGGGCATGCTCTAAATATAAAAACTCATATGGTTGATTGATTTGATCAAAGATGGGGAATAAAGCATATTAATGAAAATCAGGATGTCAATGTCCGTTAGTAGGTCATGTAATTAATTGTCCTCAAAGCATGTAACTGTAACAAAATCATAGGTCTACATAATATATTTATCAATTTAAAATTCATATCAGCTCAGAGAAGCGGCCTTGGTATAGTTGCCACGGTAATTTAAAAAAAATGAATAAATATTAAATAGATATGAATATAGAATATTTAAGATTAAAGGGCAAGATATTGGCTAGGCGTTCGTACGGATTTTTTTTTTCAAATGACGATTCCATCCCACCGACAATCAGCAGTCGGAGTTGCGTAGTTGTCGCAGGGAGTGGAGGCGACTTTTGTGGGCCGACTTGCATGACCATCAGCAAACGCGGTGCGTACCCGGCTTAAGAATAAAACCCCAAATTTCAGTAGGCCTATACTAGGCCTAAATGTAATGGTTAGGGTAGTGAATATAGAGTGGAGATATATCCGTCGACGTAGTTCATTAACAATTTGTCTGGTGGATAAGGAAGGTAGCTAGTTCCATAAAAAAAGGTTTTGTGTGATCTTAAAGAATCGCGCCGACGACCGGCGGATAGGCCTACGCTGTTTTCGATTCGACCTGGGTATGGAATTACTGTCCGTTTAACCTCTTGTTATCCTAATGGCTACATCGTATGTGGCATGATATTAAGAATATTCATAAAGGCTTCAAAATGATGATTAACAAAACACGTTTAAGCTTTAACTTTTCGTTGGTAGATCGAAGGCATAATGATTCTTAGAAGCGTTGTCTGGGTTTTGCTGGAAAGTTAAACATCCTCAGATGACCACAATAGCTGCGATACCATGCTTAGCTAGCTTCATGACGTACCTAGTTGTACATGCGAATGTCCACCACTACACGTGAAACTATCAAAATACTTTTTGATTTATATTAATTACCTGCTCGCTTTTTTTATCAATAGAACTGCAGGACAATAAATACAATCTAGATCTTTTTATACCTCCTTGGTCAAGTCAAACAATGGTCAAACTAACTAATGGAATTCAGACGATGAAGGCATTTAGTTGCATACCGCCCTCTCTCAGAGTACACAAACTCAGATTTCATTCAATTCTGTTTTGCTATAAGTCAATGAATTCAAGTTTGTAATTCCTGGATTACGAAAAAGAGAAGCCAATTCTTGGGTCGTGTAAAAGTTACAATCAACACGTCAAAGATGTACTAGCATGCTCTTAAAGTCAGGCACCGGAGGGAAAAAATGTTCTGATATGTTGTAAAACTTATATTTCTAAGACACAAAAAGCATAGCCTATTTGACGAAATACTCGCGAGCGGTTAATGAGATACAGATTTTTGAATATTTAAAAACTGGGAGAAAAGGGAAATTCACCACCGTTTTTCCCACCTTTTCTTCCAGTTGTTAAATATTTTAACATTATATCTCATTTAAGAGTATGATGCACAATTATTTTAATTTACAGTGGCGGATTCAAGGGGGTGGGGGGAACCCCACTAAATCAAAATTTTTTTAAATGAAGATATAAAGAAAATTATATTCAGATTTTAAGTTTGAGAGTGCAGTTTTTTGCCATCTAGAGGTACCACAATCACATATCTTCTTACCTCAGCCCCAACCATGATGGGTATCGATCTTCCATCTGTGAAAGTACCTCCCCGGGCCCCTCTATTTTGAATTCCTGGATCCGCCACTGATTTATTGTCAAGAAATTGCTAATTTTTGTTGTTTTTTTTTAGATTGCAGGATGTACATTACTTGGGCTTGGTGCGTATATGTACATCCAGTCCGACGACTTCTCCTACATACTGGACTCAATTTATAACTTTGCCATTTTACTGATGGCTACAGGTGGATTATTGTTCTTGGTTGGGTTGAGCGGCTGCTACGGAGCATGCGCAGAAAACGTTTGCTGTCTTATGTTGGTAAGTTCCCCAGCAAAGGTGAATAAAAGTAATGCATAAGAACAATAATAATATTGGATAAAATGATG